ATACTAAAAAATATTATGCTAATATAACAAAATATGCATAGAAATTCATAAAATCATATGATCCAAATAAATTGCACAAAATAGCAATTTTAATTTATGAGCATATTCAATAGTAAATTGAATGACAATTTGAAAGCAATATAATACTCAATGCTTTTAAAAAACAAATTGCTGGCCCAAAACAATTTATATATACATATAAATCAGAATAAATCAGGCCTAAGTAAAATATGTGGGTAAATATATCACAAAGATTGGCCCACAATGATATTCAGAACTGATGTCAAAACTTGGCCCAAAATCATCAAAAAAATAATTAGGCCTGGAAAATAAAGTCAGTCCAGTTACTTTAAAAATAGAGAGGCCCAATTTTTATTAAAGTGAATTATGTCTGGCCAAATTGGGCCAAACCCGGCCCAAACGATAAACCATTGCTTTGTTTGAAACCTAGCAGCCAGACAGAAAAAAGAGGTAGACGCTCGAGAGTGAAAGTGTCGCGCAGTAGCAGAGAGATCGTCGGCCACCACCACGGCCGGAGCCTTCATCACCGCTTATCGTCGCCGATAAGACCGGAGGTCTACCGCCGATCGTCATTACCATTGCCAGAGCAGCGCCATCTTCGGAACGGCGCCACCTTCATCTCAGAGTAGCGCCGCCTCCAATCGCCGAACGTCGACGTACAAAGCCGCCTCCGCCATCGTCAAGCATAGCGCGATCGCCGGAGCAGTGCTGTCGTCTCCATTGCCGCCCGACGCCAAAGCGTAGATCGGAAAAAAATGGCAGAACGGCCAAAAAAAATGTTTTGAAGGAAAAAAAAAAAAAAAAAAAGGAAGCAAGATGCTCGGCCGAGAAAATAGCTCCGTCGCCATGCAACACCAGCCACGCCGCCGGAAGCAGGCCGGCGAACAAGTTGAGCCCAGAGGTATATTACGAAATATATATAAAATTCCAGAAAAAAACTTTGTGGAGAATCTTCATGTATATATACACATATGAAATTCAATATATATAAAAAAAAACAAGGCATATAGGCATAAAATATGTATGCTTATTTAACTAGGCACAAAGATTATATGGATTCGCATACTAATTGCAAGTTATTCGTAGCACTGTAAATCTTAATTTTTAACTTGCATGCTATTCAAAATGCGGAAAAAAACAGTAGGTAAAGCTTACTTGTTTATTCGATTTATGATAAATCTGGAAATTGAGTTTCTGATTGAGTACTTCACCTCTTGAAGAGCGTACTGATAACGTGTTGTAATGTTGTTTGTGCCCGTTAGCTCCTAACCGGTGATTTGAGTATAGTATTCAAAGTACTCCGTATAAGTTAAAACAAGAACATAGTATAGATAGATAGGGGGGAGAATAAGTTTCATTTCACTAGCCTCCAAACAATACAACATATGTAAGTATATATACAATGCAAGTATAACAGATACAATAATGGTATGCTTAATTACCGGACCGTTACGTCCGTTACATAATAATGTCCACTAAGTATATATATTTATAACATTAAGGAGTTTTTGTAGGTGTGACTAGAAAAGAAAAGATGAGAGGGAAGACAAAAAAAAAAAAAAAAAAAAAAAAAAAAAAAAAAAAAAAAAAAAGGGTCAAATAGGCCATCGAACTGCACAGAATAATGCAATTAGGCCATGAACCTAAAAAAGTTACAATTAGATCCCTAAACTAACCATGTTCTTGCAATTTGTCTAATTTGTAAGTTTCCTAGGTTGTTAGCAGGTCACCTTTTATTTAAAATATTTATTATTTAAAATAATTATTTAAAATTAAAAAAAAAAAAACTAAAAAAAAACAAAAAAGAAAAAAAAAAGAGACCGTCTCCGGCCATGGATTCGTCTCCATGGCCGGAGATGAAGAGCTCTTCGTCTCCGTGGCCGGAGACGAAGAAGTTATCTTCGCCTTCGGCCAGAGATGAAGAGACTCTTCATCTCCATGGCCGGAGACGAAGACGAAGAGACAAGAGACGAAGACGTCTCCGGCCATGGAGACGAATCCATGGCCGGAGACGATCTGTATCTTTTTTTTTGTGTTTTATTAAATTTAAAATAATTATTTAAATAATAAATATTTTAAAAAATATTTTAAATTAAAGGTGACTTGCTAGCAACCTAGAAAACTTACAAAATAGACAAATTGCAAGAAAATGGTTAGTTTAGGGATCTAATTGTAACTTTTTTAGGTTCGGTGGCCTAATTGTATTATTGTGTGCAGTTTGATGGCCTATTTGATCCTTATTCCAAAAAAAAAACAAAAAACAAAAAACAAAAACAAAACAAAAAACAAAAAACAAAAACAAAATCTGGAAAAACAAAAAGAAATCAGATTAACACGCCTGGCTGGGCACTATGGTTGCTCCGCACGCGACCAAATGCAAGCCATATTTACACATGGTAGGACCTACTTTTCTGATAAAAACCAGCTCCTTGCAAGAGGGTTTTTATTTTTCTCTCTCCACTCCTTCTTTCCTTCACTTAAGCTTGCTAGCTTCAAAAATCGTGCAAAAACCATGCTAAAAACACTGATGGAGATGCTCTAAGAGGAGATCGATGAGGTGTCCTAACAGGGTTAGTATAGTTTTATGGTGCTCTATCTATACTTCCTAGGATTTCTCCTAGAGTTGGCCTTCTCCTGGTGTGGCGCGTCCATGACCATAATGTTTTGTCTTGATCATTTGTGGGTTGAGCGGTTAAGATATTTGATCTTCTTTGTAAGATCAAAATAGATAATAATTTATAAGTCAATAGATCTACTTAGATATTATAACCACAATAATATAATGTTAAAATAACTTAAAGTCATCATTTTAAACAGCTAATATAACTTAAACCTCAACTTTGTTGACAAAAGGATAAAAATGGTTGTGACTATTTGAAATAGGAAATATTAATGATTCAATTCTTATGTCCTTTATGAATGCAAAATACTACAAGGTATTTGGCAATATGAAGGTTACTTGAGGACAAAGGAGAGGAGCATGCTAAAATGAAGTCTCTAAACTAGATTCATCAAACTAGTTAAAAATCTGTTGGTCGTCCCAAAAGAAGTAAGGTAAAAGTTTAGAGAGGGGGAGGGTAAATAGACTTTTAAACTTTTTCGCACAGCACAACAATTGCTAAGGCACAGAGAAATCAAAACTCTTAACTAGATTGTTAGAGTCTGGTACGCAGCGAAAATAAATAAAATAAGTGTGTGTGGAGATTGTGTCAAGTATATCTCGTGAGAAGCAAGCAAAAAGCAATAAGTAAAGAAAGCTGTAAAGAACACAAGGCAATTATAGTGGTTCGGAGGTGGTGTAATCCTCCCACTCCACTTGTTCTTATCTCCAAGAGCAATTAACTATATCCACCACTACTTGGTTCCTAGATACAATAAATTCCGTGATCTAGTGCTTTGATCACCAAGCCCGCACTAATCACGCCTAGTGCCACCAACACTGCTGCTTCGGGTTTCACGACTCTGCGTTACTTTCCCCCCGACTTCTACGCTCCGGTAGAATCGCTCTTTGGGTTTCGCAACTCCGTGCTACTTTCCCTTCTCCAAGACTTCACAGCTCCGTGTGACAATCTTCTTCCTACACTCCCGTAGGGATGTCACTTGTTTTCACAAAAATAAGTTTCTTCTTGCTTCCAACTTTCGAGACTCTGTAGATGATCTTCAATGTATTGCAAGTCTCTAGCTTTGTATCTCTGAGTGTTTTTCTCTCTTTGAATGTATCAAGTATAGCACTTGACTTAACACTCTTGGATGGATGTATCAAGTATAGCACTTGACTTAACACTCTTGGGTGATTTCTCTTGCTAGCTCTGTATCTCTGAGTGTTTTTCTCTCTTTGAATGTATCAAGTATAATACTTGACTTTTTGCCAGTATAACACTTGACTTTTTGCTCTGTTTAGCTCTGTATCTCTGAGTGTTTTTCTCTCTTTGAATGTATCAAGTATAATACTTGACTTTTTGCCAGTATAACACTTGACTTTTTGCTCTGTTTAGCTCTTGTATCTCTGAGTGTTACTTGACTTTTTGCCAGTATAACACTTGACTTTTTGCTCTGTTTAGCTCTTAGCTCTCTTGTTCCTTATCTAAGCTGTAAGTTTGGTGAGATTCAAACTTGAGCCATTAGTTATATTCTTTTTTTCACTTGAAGATTTTCAAATATAGCTCTCTTTGATCTATTCAGAACAATAGAACTAAAGACGATATAAGCTGTAAGTTTGGTGAGATTCAAACTTAAGCCATTAGTTATAATATATCAAGCATCTTCCAACTCGTCCATACACTCATTTGGTTATATTTTCAATCTTCTTTGATGTATACTCCTTTCTTTCCGTAGATGCTTGATCTTCAAGTCAAATTCATGCAAACTTCAAATCTTGATTTTCTTTAACGAAAATTCTTCTGAAAATTCTTTCTAAGTAAGGTATAGACGTGAAGTTCATAGATTACATCTTCTTCTTTGATTTGTCATTTTCACCAGACAAATTCTTGATTTTAGGCGACAAATTCTTAATTTTAGGCTTGATATCTTCTTCTTCTATTTTCATGCATCTTCCTCTGTTTTTCTCTTTTAATAATTTCTCGTTCATGGTCTAAGACTCAACTAGCCCTAAACAAATAAAATTGGGGGTTCTACAAATACAAATTTGACATATCAAAACCATTACACTTTATTACTAACAAAATCATATACATCAAAGTCCTACATCAAATGTAGCACACTCATAAGGTGAAATCCTGACAGTGCTGAGATAGCGTTATTGAGAGGAAGAAGATTCCTTTTTGCAACTACTCCTTAAAAGTTTAAAAGTTTATCCTGTCATGTAAAATATTATCTCTGTTCTTTGTGTTAATATTTATAGACAAATAAAGAAATAAATGAACATGAATTCTCATCTCAAATGAAGAAAGAAAGCAGAAATTAAACAAAGTATACAACTTTTTAGCTATTTATTTCATTTATATAATAAGAGAATAATATCAGTCTTCATATTACATTGAAGCCTCAACTTGGTAAATTGAATTGTCCTAAAAGTTAAAACAAAAAATAATCATTTTCAAGTGTAGCTAAGTATGAAAAACAAGAGAGAGAGAGAGAGAGAGAGAGAGCAAAAAGCAAACTCCTCATCAACTATACAAACAAACAAACATTAATCAATTAAATTAAAGCAACCCTTCTATTGATCTTTCTCATTGTCCTCACTGCTGCATGCTAAGGAATCAACCACATTGAAAGTCAAATTGCCTCTTATTCCACCAATTCCCATGTTTCCCTTCCTCATCATTGTTGCAAATTCCCCATAGTCAATTCGCCCATCCTATACAATCAAAATCCAACTTCACATTCATCTCAAACCAATCATAATCAATCTCATGCCACACAGTGTTAGTTGTAGTGATAAATAAAGGGTCAAATCCAGCACCCTGACTCGGGAAAATGTGTGGCGGTATAAGGAAATAAAATTGCGCCTTCGCTACTAGGTATAGCTTTTGGCATAGTGGTAATCGCTTGATCCTAACAACTGGGTTCGAGTCTCAGCAAGAGCCATTTAAGGCTGGCTGGTGCTGGGAGGGGATTGTGGGCACCATGTTGCTAGGGAGATTGTTGGGCAGAGGCCGGTAAAGGGCCAAGCCCAACGCCTGCATATGGTGGTGATTTAATAGTGGGTAGAATTCCTTGCATTCATAAAACACTTTCAGAAGTCTATGGTGTGAGGGTGTATACAAGTCTTCTATGGTTTCATCATTTCATGCATTTTCAAGAGCATTCATAAAATATTTTGGCAAAAGCCAGAGTGGGCACCAAAATCAGAAATGAAGGAAAATATTAAAAGTTAGTAGTGTAAGTGCAAGAAGTATATATGGGCACTTAAAGATGAGATGATGCATGCTTACATGGTCTGTATCAATTTCTCTGATTGTTTCCTCCAAAGAACTGTCAACCAAACCAAAGTCTGCGCATGCCTGTTGAAGCTCATCAATGGTTATATACCCACTTCCATCCTTGTCAAAGTATGCGAAAGCCGCAACCAAATTCTCTTCTCTTTCCATCTTGTTCAAGTGCAAAGTGGCAGCAAGAAACTCACCATAGTCAATAGTGCCATTGTTGTCAATGTCAGCCTGACACACACATTTCAAGACCACATTAGATCAAGTGCTTACCACTACGCCAAAAGCTATAACTAGCAACGAAGACGCAATTTTATTTTCTTATACAGCCACACATTTTCTAGAGTAGGATACTGAACTTGGCCCTTTACTGGCCTCCGCCCAACATAAATGAAGTAGATAGATATGGAGTAACTTGTAATCCAATCCAAATTTAGGGAAAAAAAATTAAATTCCAAGTTAGTACCGCATTCATCAGATCCTGAATTTCAGATTCCATTAGCTCAGACCCTACTCTTTTCAAGCTCTGCTTGAGTTCCTCAAATGTAATGGTTCCACTCCCATCTGCGTCAATCATTTTGAACAGTTGTCTTAGCCCTCCTATCTCTTCTTCTGATAGTCTTTCTGCTATCACCTATGGCCACCATTTCAAGCATAACAAATCAATTGGAGGATAAATTGTAATAATTTAACAACACTTCATGATTGAAGATTGTCATGGAATTCTCAGGACTAACTGAGATTTCCATTCAAATCCAGTTAAAGATTGAATCCAATCAATTAGCTAGTCTAACTCATGGCCTTATAAACCAATGGGACTATGGTGGTGGCTCCAATGCTACAGACAATCTTTACAGGATATCACGATTTCTTCTTTTCAGACCTCCCATAATTGAGAATACATATCTAGGCATGACCAAAACTAGCATGATTAGTATCTACTGATACAAGAAGCAAAATAACTTTTAGGTAAGTTCTTGAGCAGGAAGAAAAATGGAAAACGTACACGCAATGCCATCTTTTTGAGTTTGTTCATAGCAGAGAAATTCTTTAGGCGTGCCAAAACTGCTGAACCCAAAGGTCTATCTGGTGCAACTGTGTCGTCGACAATCCATGGATGACCTGATCGATACAAACGCCACATTATTCAATCCCTCAATTCACAAGTACGGACAATCAAACGTAAAAGGGAAAAAAAAAAAAAAAAAAAAAAAAAAAAAAAACCATCCATAAAGAAGTCTTGGCCTCCTAGTTTTAGTACAATGCAAAATGTGGCTTACATAAGACTTGATGTGCACTTATTCGCTGCCTGGGATCCCTTTGAAGCATCTTTTTTATCAAATCCTTTGCACTATCCGAAATGGAAGGCCAAGGTTCAGATTCAAAATCGATTTTTCCTTTCATAATCTGCTTAAAGATCCCATTGTCTGATTCTGCACATTGAAAATTTGGAAAAATTAAAAGGAGCAAAACAAAAAGGCAACCAAGCCTTGATCTTAGCTAGAGAAGTGGAGGATAAAGAGGCAGAGAATTTGTAGGTAATTATGAAAAGAGAGAGTTAGTTACCAGCCCAAAAAGGAGGAACCCCACATAATAAGATGTAAAGGATAACACCAGCACTCCATACATCAATTTCAGGTCCATAAAATTTGTGTAACACTTCAGGGGCAACATAGTATGGGCTGCCTACAACATCAGAAAGATATTGACCTGAAAACCAAAAATTCAAGTCAAGAAGAGCTGTTTCAGTAGTGTAAAAGTTAAAAAAGTAATAATAATAACTCAAGAGTATTATGTGTTGGATTCACAATTATTGCATTTCATATTGTTATAGGAATAAATTAGAATAAATTACTAAAATTGTTCCTTGACTATATCGATTTGACAGATTTGGTCCTTTCTTTTCAAAACTGTCTAATTAAGTCCTTCGACTTTATTTTCTTTAACCAATTTGGTCCTCTGGCACCCAACCCGTCAAATCTCCGATGAACATAAGGTTAATATGGTCATTTACTCATACTTTTCCTACGAGTAAATTATAAAAATGGTCTCTTACCTATATCGATTTGACTAATTTAGTCCTTTGACTATCATTTGTTTAACCAATTTGGTCCTCATATTGTCAATATATGAGGATCAAATTAGTTAAATAAATGATAGTCGAATGGTTCAATAGTGATGTGGACATTATATCCCTCAAAATAAGTTATTCTCCCAAAAGGTTGAATCTCCAATCCTTAAGGGCCCCACACTTCGGCCTGACAAAGCATTTAAGAGGATGTAAATGTGACTCAATGACTCAGCACATCAGGCTAAATGTCGGTGTGCATAAGAGATCTGCCCTGCGGCCGCTGAGGTTCCATCCTTGTCTCTTCCCCAAATAGTGTCCGCTGAACCATTGAGTTAAGTTCGTGTTGATTATCCCTCAAAATATGTTGTCTCATGCATTGGAGGACCAAATTGATTAAAGAAATGATAGTGAAAGGATTAAATTAGACATTTTTTAAAGGCAAAATGAATGAATGAAAGAAAGCAATAACAAACCGGGCTTGTAGAAGACAGACAAGCCGAAATCGGTGGCTTTGAGCTTGGCATCCTCATCAGCGGTATCGAACAAGAAATTCTCAGGCTTAAGATCCCTGTGCATCACCCCAAGAGAATGACAACCTTCCACAACCCCAGCAATGGTCTTCATCAATTCCGCAGCTTTCCGTTCGCTAAAATGCCCCTTAGAAACAATCCTATCGAACAGCTCTCCGCCTCTACAAACCTCCATCACCAGATGCACGAACGCATCGTCCTCATATGTCCCTTTGATCCTAACAACGTGCGGATTCTCCGACAGATGATGCATTATCTGGATTTCCCTCCACACATCCTCGTAATCCTCCTTGCACAAAAGCTTCCTCTTCGGGATCGATTTGCACGCGTATTCAACCAATGTGGATTTCTCCGTGCACAGATATGTCGTCCCAAATTGCCCCTGACCCAGCTTCTTCCCCAGGGTGTAAAGGTCCCTTAGCTTCTGGGTGCCATAAGGTAGCACGTTTAAGGTAGGCTTTGACGATGCAGCTCTCAACACCTTTGCTCTATCATCTGCCATTTTCGATTTTTTAATTTCTGTCTTTTCTCAAATCCCCTGATTCTTTTTGTTTTTGTTTTTGTGTATTGATGATGAAGCGATTTTGGGATTGCGAGAAAAACTGGATCTGTGTTTCCCAATTGTACTTTGTGAAACGGAAAATGGGTATGGGATAGTGGATCGATCGAGATTGATGGTGGAAAGGCAATACCTTTGATACGTTGTTTGGCGGGGAATGTAATGTGGACACCAGTTGGGTTGGAGTTGGTCACTATTTTTCTTGTGCAGCTCAATTTTACAAACATCAAAATACTAACTAACTAACTAACGTTTGGATAACTTTCTTTCTTTTTTTTTTTTTTTTTTTTTTTGGCACAAGTGTCATATAGGCCCATCTATTACTGCGAAATGCTCAATTTCCACCACGAACTAAACTAAGTGTCAAATAGGTCCATCTACGAGTTAAATTTGTTCAATTGACTTTTTTTACAGGTTAATAACATGTTACCTATTTAATTATTAAAATAAAATAAAAAAGAATACAGCCACCGGCTGTCCTCGCCGGACAGCCACGGCTATCTTTGAAATGGCAGCCGCGAGGACAGCCGGTGGCTGTAATTTTTTTTTATATATATAATAATTTTTAAATTATTTTGAAATTATTTTTTTAATAATTGAATTGGTAACCTGCAAAAAAAAAAGTCAATTACCTACAAAAAAGGTTAATTGAACAAATTTAGTAGATAAGTGTGGTTAATTAGCTGGGAATTGAGCACTTGACAATAGCACATGGGCCTATTTGACATTTCTCCCTTTTTTTTTAATAACGTAAGTGATCCTAATTTCGCTGGAGTGTTATGCTGTGCATGGTGCACACTGTTGCAAAAACGACGTCGTTTTGACGTCCGACTTAAAAAAAAAAAATTCAAAATTGCATAACTACAAATCCATAACTTCATAACTATACATCCAGAATTGCATAACTACACATTCATAACTTCATAATTATAAATCCAGAATTGCATAATTACACATCTATAATTTCATAACTATACATCCAGAATTGCATAACTACAGATCCATAACTTCATAACAATAAATCCAAAATTGCATAACAACACATCCATAACTTCATAATTATACATTCAGAATTGCATAACTTCACATCCATAACTCCATAACTATAAATCCAAAATTGCATAACTACACATCCATAACTTCATAACTATACATTCAGAATTGCATGCATAGCTACACATCCATAACTTCATAACTCACATTTAGAATTGCATAACTACACATCCATAACTTTATAACTATTCATTCAGAATGTGAAATTATAACTTCATAACTATACATTCATAATTGCATACATAATTACACATCCATAACTTCATAACTATAAATCCAGAATTGCATAACTATACATCCATAATTTCATAACTATAAATCCAGAATGTGAGATTATAAAATTATGAACATATGTTTACGTAACTAATGGCAATCAAAAATGATTTTTTTTATTTAAGTAAAACAACGCCGTTTTTGCATCCGTGTGCACCATGCATGGTGCACACGGATGCACAACATAATTTGTCAATTTCGCTAGAGTAATCCTAAATCCATAAGACTTAATCTCTAGAACCATTATAGAGGTAAATCGCGAGCAGCGCAATCAGCTCATCATTGATTATATTTTAGTCTTCACACAAGGGATCCAATACAGATCTTTCAACATCTTTAGACTTTTTTTCTCATGCATCATTAGACCTTTTCCATGCATGCTTCCAGTGTTATTTGAACGCACATATTATCGCTATCAATCATGACCTAAGTCAGGCGACCAACCAAGTACGTCGAGTCTAAGGGGCAAACTTAACGTTAGTTAAGGAGATTTACTAGAATTAACAAATCCACCAATAACATGTGTACGAGTGGATGATATTAAATTTGTTATTTGAGTAATATATTGAATTTGAGTTTTGCAATTGCATTAATATAGTTTCTTATGTACAAAGGAAAAAAAAAAAAAATAGTTACACGTATCCAAGCCATGCAATTCACCGTATCCTTTCACAAAGACCATACTTGAAGAAATCTATACGCACTCTTCGTGCGCTCGGGGCACTTAAGTGACGATTAATTGACGTTTAGGTGTTCGTGCATTTTTTATTTTTAAAAATTTGTTTAAATTTTTTAAAACTTGATAATTATAAACTATTTAATACTTTAATAGTTAATACTAAAATATGAAATATTAACCTAAAAAACATTTAGAGTTTAAACAATTTAAGATTATTTCGCTCAAAACGATGTCGTTTTGAGTGAAATAACTCATTTTAAAAAGGGGAACAATAGCTAATCGGCCGATTAGGCGGCCTAATCAGCGCCTAAGAGGCCTAGTCGGCTGCCTAGCCGGTCAGCCGCCTAGACCACCGATTATGGTGATACACTTGGTGGTCGGCCAGCGCCTAGCACCTAGTCGCCGATTAATCGATGTTTAAGCGGAATTTTTGCAACACTGATAGAGATTAATTAGAATACAATGTAATTGTTAAATAATAGATTTTGTTTGCTAGAACACCATTGGACCAATCATTTAAAAAGAGAAAGAAATCAAGTGTCTTTTGTATGTGTATACGTTTATGTATGTATTTCATAAGTTAATGTTTTGCATCCTTTTTACTTCAAAATCATTATAAAAAAATAGGGAAAAGGGTTAAATAGGCCATAAACTTTACAAGAAAAGTCAATTAGGCTCCTAAACTTTTGAAAGTGTAATTAAACTCATAAACATGTTATTTTAGTGCATGAAGTCCAAAAACCGATTCATGACCTATAATAGCATGTCATTAGAGTTTTGGTGACTTTCAGACCAACTCCGGTGGATTTCCGACCAAACTCCGGCGACAACCGACAAAAAATCCGGTGAACCAGCGCGAAGGCGACCATTTTCTCTGACAGACCAGAAAGCGACCATATGGTTGCCATCTCTGGAAGACCAGAAGGCTCGCCTTCTCCCAGAGCAAAAGACGTGATCTCTTTTTGGTCGTCGCCTTGTTGCTGGTTCGTCGGACTTTGGTGGATTATCGCCGGAGTTTGGTCGGAAAGTCGCCAGAGTTGGTCGGAGGGTCATCGGAACACTAATGACCTGCTATTATAGGTCATGAACCGGGTTTTGGACTTTAACGCATTACAATGACATGTTTATGGGTTTAATTGCATCTTTCAAGAATTTAGGGGCATAATTGACTTTTCTAATAAAGTTTAAGGGCATATTTGATCCTTTTGGGACAGTTATCTAAGCAAAAGCATTGATTTTTCTTCGTCACCATCTTAACGAAGACCTCATGTGATACCCCATAATTTTTAAATAAATTATTTTTCCAATAAGGACCATTGAAATAAAATTATTTTGATTACTACGAGTATTACTACAATTGTAATTTTATTTAAAACAAGATGTTTTAGTATAAAATATTTATAAGGGTATTTATGGTTTTTCAAACCTCATTCATATTATATATTTTATATTAAAAAAATTTAACTCAAAATTTATCTTAGACGAACATGTGATCCTTATACTCTTTATTATGAGCCTAAGATTTGAGCCCAAACTCAACCTAACCTATTTTACACGGCAATTTATATCCTACACCACGGCGCGCGTTGCACTATGCGCCCAGATGCAAAACGACGTCGTTTTAATTATTTTTTTTTTTTAAATTTTCCGCCCCAGTAAATGGCAGTAGTTTTTTCTTTAAAAAAAAAACCCGCTGTTCAAGAATATACATAATGTTATACTAGAATACACATAATGTTATACATGAATGTACATAATTATATAAAAAAATATACATACTCTTTTTAAAAAGATAATACACATAATCTAACATAATACATAATAAACATAAACTTTTAACATAATACACATCAACTCTTAACATAATACACACAAATTTTCTGATTCGGATGTACATAATTGTATAAAAAGAATGTACATAATTGTATAAAAAATACACACAACTGTATGAACCAATACACATAACGTTGTGAACAAATACACATAACGTTGTGAACAAATACACATAATCTCAGCAACTTTCTACCGCGCCTCCCAACACTACCCCAAAACGACATCGTTTTGGGAGGCGCGCGGCGCACAGTACTATGTGCGCCGTGGTGTAGGATATAACGATTGATTTTACACTAGAAAATAAGATTTTCTCCTAAACCTAGCCCAACAATTGACCCAAAATTTCAGCCCAGGCTTTAAGCCCAAAAATCTCCCTTTTGAAGTGTAGCAGACGTTCACCAATTGTTATGATGTGGAAACGTGTTCACCATGCGCATGGTGAATACAGACGTAGATTCATAATTTCTATATTGTAGATTTATAATTTTTTTTTTTTGAAAACGTATTCATAATTTTATTTTTTCATTTGTTGTTAACAGGATAGATCCATAATTTCTAAGCTGTAGATTTATAATTTCTATACTGTAGATTCATAACATCTATACAGTAGATTCATAATTTCTGTACTGTAGATTCATAATTTCTATACTGTAGATTCATAATTTCTATACTGTAGATTCATAATTTCTATACTGTAGACTCATAATTTCTATAACAACAAATGAAAAACAAAATTATGAATCTGCGTATAATTTCTGTACTGTAGATTCATAATATCTGTAACAACAAATGGGAAACAAAATTATGAATCTACGTATAATTTCTGTACTGTAGATTCATAATATATGTAACAAACAAATGGAAAACAAAATTATGAATCTACATTTTTAAAATATATATATATATATATATATATATATATATATATATATATATATATATATATATATATATATATTATGAATCTACAGTATAGAAATTATGGATCTACGTACCCCTGTGTTCACTATGCGCATGGTGAACACGTCTCCACGGCATAATTTACGGACGTTCACAGGCCTGATCCTATCATTTTATAGGACCAGGGTGTATCAACAAAAATGGGCCATATATTAAATTAATATATATTTTTATAACTAAAATTTAAATTAAATAAGGAAAAAATGCTAATGTCAAATAATTCATATAGGGACAGTTATCTAGGCAAAAATTCTAAGTTTTTAACAATTATACATACACGTGAAAACAATTCTAGATGCATTTTTAAATCCAAAATAATCAATAACCACATTGCTTTCATAAATAAAGAATTATACTTTATAAAAACGAATAAATAATTTAAAACCAAATGAGCTTATAAAAAATAAATCTTAGTTATTGGGAGCAATAAATCAAAATACTCGAAACGTACGTGATAAAAGATAAATATTCATAATAAAATATGAAACATAATGAATTGGATAAAATAGTTCGGATAAAAAAGACATAATAAATCGCACATCTTCTTCATTGATATAAACTTTATAAATACTTTTTTCTTTTAGTTAAATTAATTTCAAATTTTTCTATATTAATCTGAATACGATGACGCACAATAGGACTTCTAAACTACATTGACTAGATTTTTTTTTAAAGGACATTGACTAGATAATTCATGAATTTTTTTTTTTTTTCAAAAACTAAATTATCTTTTAAAATATTTTTCATAACTAAATCACAAAATATATTACATATAAATAACTCATTATAAAGTTCACAAAATAACACATTTTTTAAATATAAGTAGTAAATTACTCGAATGGAAATAGATTCAAATTTTAATATTAATCACAAATCAATCTATATTATAAATCTCAATATATATAATTATAGAAAGGTAAAAAAAAAAATTACATAGTTACAAATTAAATTGGAAAATACAAATTAGAAATAAAAATAACTCATTATAAAGTTCACAAAATAACACATTTTTAAAATATAAGTAGAAAATTACTCAAATAGAAATTGATTCAAAATTTGATATTAATCACAAATCTCTCTATAATTATAGAAAGGTAAAACAAAAAATCACAAACAAATTAAATTAAATAAAATACAAATTTAAAATATAAATAAATTTCATAAGTTATCATGTAGTGTGATAACATGTTGTTTATTATAATTTATAGATGGTCGTAGGTTCAAACCTTGGTGGTGGGAGCTTAAATTCTTTTGGTTGACAAATACTACCATATAAAAATTATGAGTACTTCAAAAATTTCATAAGTTATAATTTTAAAACTATATATATAATCATATCCCAAATTGAAATTTAATACTATATAATAATATCCCAAAATTTATTATATATATATAATAATATCCCAAATTGAATTTTAATACTATATAATAATATCAATAATATCCCAAAATTTATCTACTAAAGAGTAAGGAAGGAAATCTTAATGCAAAGTTAGACACATATGGGTTCGAACCCTTGACCTTATATATAAAAACCACAAACCCTACTAACTCAACTAGCTTTCAATTCAATAACAAAAATTTGTAATAAGTTATTATAGGAAACATTTACAGTATATATAAAAGGTAATTTGATAGCTAGGGTGGTGGGCCCCTTCCAAGTGTGGGCCCTGGGCAAGGGCCGGGCCTGGACGTTTACCTCTTCTCCGCTAGGGCTTTGCGCTTATATAAACAACATGAATACATTTGCCTCCTCAATCCCTCCATTCTCCTTCTCCATTTTTTTCTTCTTCATTTCTATAGTGGGTTGAGACAAACTAGCTTGAAGGTCACCAAGTAGTAAGCTTCTTCCTCTTTCTTTCTTCTTTCTTTCTTCTGCTACGGTATATATGCATGTGTTAATGTTGTTGCTGTTGTTTGGTTTTGGGATCTTAGAAGGTGGTGAAGGAGACCAATCTTGAGGATTTAAAGGGGGGATTCTTGTGGTTAATGCTACCAACTTGAGGTAAGGATCATGACTGTCAAAACCTATCTATCTTGCTCCATTTTGATGTGTTGTTTGCTAAATGTATGTACACTTCTTTTGGGTTTATACAATTATTGGTAGATGATGTTTTGTTGTGTATATATTTTGAGCTATGACCTTGTTATAGTGTTGTAGTGTAACACCCTATTTCCAAACTAGAGAAACTCTTAAAAATACATACATTTTTTTTTTAAACGAATCCAATTGCGGAAGCGAATATAAAACTAAAGGAAACAGAAATGGGTGTTACCGCCACGCTCAAGTATTTCTCTATATCCAAACACTAAGGCTAAAAACAACTAACTGATACAACTCAAGGTACGTACTAGTACAAGAAAACAACTAACAATCAAACTAACTAACTAATAAATGATATCTCTAGGTGGTTCGGTCGCTCTCTTGTCCAATGCTCATGTAAGACACCTGCAACCAGAGTTAAAGAACAGAGCACAAGAAAACACACAAATTCAGCATAAAGCTTGTAACATCTACTTCACCCCGTAAAACATTTTTGCACATAGCACATAGGAGCAGATAATTGGCATTTAATATTGGTAGGGAATACCCCGACCGACATACTGTTACCCCGACCCCAGTGTCTTCGTTCTTTTCTTCTTGTCTTTGCAGGTTACAGGTTGGGTTGCTTGTGAAGAACCCGGTCGGTTCCCGACCGGGTAGTGCCCGATTGGCGTTGCCAACCACCGAGCGGTAGCCCTTTGGCGAGAGAGCTGGTGAGAAACACGTGGTGACTCTACGCATTGACAGGCAGGGCACCCGGGAAGGCGACACGTGGTTGCTACGTGGGAGGCATGCCGGACGGCCGGATTTATGTCTCCGGCTCCGCGGCTATAAATACCCGCGATAGCGACAGTGTGAGAGACTTTTGGACGATCGATAGGTTGTTATTAGAGAATCCCGACCGCAGTCAGTCGGTACTCAGAGCAACCATTTAGATTGTACTTAGGGCCTTCACTGTGATCAATAAGAGTTATTTAATTGCTTTAATTGGTCTCGTGTTTATTTAGTTACCGCATTGTGTGGCAATTAATACTATCATTTTGGCGTCGTCTGTGGGGACCCGTGCAAGCAAGCCAACGTTTGACGAGCACCCGGTTTCTTCGCAAATATGTATCCGTGGGCACAAAACCTCTTCGCCGAAGATCAAGCGGATGCAGCAAGTTCATCCGACCACCAGCCGAGCCAGCAACAAGGTCAGACAATGGACCTCAACCTCAACCTCTCACCGCCTCATCTGTCTAACACATACCCGGCTGCCCAACAGCCGGTAAACTACATCCAACCGGGATACCCAACACCCGGTCAGCAATACCAGCAGCCACAGATGCAGTACCCCTGCCAGTATGCATACCCGGCTCCACCTCAACCGTACGGGTACTGGCCCGGTCAACCAATGTACTATACACCACCGGTTGGCTATCCACCATACACGCCTGCGTACACGGCTCCAGCCGCCGCCCCTCCATTTACCCGGCCGCACATGTAGAGCCGCAGCATCAGCCCACTTCCCGGGCTCGACGCTCGGCTCGTTCGCGGTTGGGGTCAGGGGGTGCTGATGCGATGGAGGGACCACGGCAGGTCCCTCAAGCACCGGAGGTTCCGACCCGAGCGGAGGACCCCGAAGAAGTTACCCGGGCGGTAGCTTTTGACCGTCTTCGACCGGCGATGCGACAACGCTTGGGACCCCAAGACCCGGGCCGGCAGCCGGAAGACGTACAAATGCAGGGGGCTAGCCAGGAGGCTTCATCCGGGCATAGCGGGTGGAGATCTCACCCTCGGCGACGCGCTCGGGAGTCAGCCCAAGCCGCCCAGACGGTCGAGCTCAACGAGACCCTAGGAGTGCTCTATAACCTCCAGTCGGAGTTTGCTCGGTTCAGGAACGAGCACCCCGTGACACCCCCGGTCGACCAGTCATCTTTGCTGAGAACGCCCTTCATTGCGAAGGTAATGGCTCAGCCATACCCGCTCGATTTGAAAGTCTCCAGGGAGAAAAGTTATGATGGCCGTACGGACCCTGAGGTCCACATCAACGATTTCTACGGCAACATGATGTTGAAGGGCGTATCAGACGCCGTTATGTGCAGGGCTTTTTATTCCACGCTCACCGGTCGGGCGGCGGAATGGTTCCAAACTTTGCAGCCGGGTTCAATTGCAGATTTTAATTCCCTGGCGATCAAGTTCGTGAGGAAATTCATTACCTCCAAGGTGTTGAGGAAGTCCTACATGTACTTGGAAAAGGCCAAGCAGCTCGAAGGGGAGAGCTTGACCGATTTCCTCATCAAGTGGAAGGCAGCGGTCGGGGAAGTCGAGCCCATGGACGATGCGACCGCTACCCACATGCTCCACATTTCTCTCGGGGCGGGATATCTCTATTAAGATTTCATTCTACACCCCCAGCTACGTATGAAGAGGCCCTTCGAAGGGTCACAGATTATGCCAACGCCGGTGAGGCGCTGTGAAACGCTCGCAGGAGGTCGGGTCCTTGTCCCGTAAACCGGCCGGTCGGGCGGAACATCGATCGGGTGACGACCATCCCCGATCCCGCACCAGGCCTGGTGAGTTTACGGCCCTAAACCGATCCGCGGCAGAGGCCATGCAGTACGCCCAGTCCTGCAATCTCATCAAACTCCCCCATCCCGATCAAGATGGCCCTGACAAGAGTAAGCATTGTGCTTGCCACCGATGTGCCGGGCATGACACCGAGAGTGTACCCACTTGCGCCAACTGCTGGAGGATCTGCTCAATCTTGGGAAGTTGGACAAGTGTGTGGGGAAGAGAGAAGATGCAAAGAAGAATACCGATCGGAGAGATCACCAGCGCTCCCATCATCGTAGCGATCGTTCTGATCGTGATGGACGCTCCGATCGGTCGGGTCAGGACCAAAGAGATGATCGAAGAGACGATCGTCGAGATGACCGACGGGACCCTGACCTTCCATCTAGCAGCCGACCGGCAGGAAAGCCGACCATCCACGTTATTTTTGGTGGATTGGATGACGCTTCCCGACCGAGTGATAATTGCCCGGTCGCCATAGTGGATTCCCGAGACACCGGGAAGAGGCAAAAGATGGAACCCATAACCTTCACCCTCGAAGATCAACCTGGCAGCGGTGACCACGGCATGGAGGCACTCGTGGTCACGATTGATGTGAAAGGGACGGACGTCCAGAGGGTTATGGTGGACACTGGAGCAGTGTCAACGTCCTTTATCTGGACGTGTTTGAGAAGCTTAGGCTCGACAGGAAGGAGCTGACTCCGGTCGGTGTACCACTGTCGGGATTTACCGGGGCTCTTATCTACCCCGAGGGAAAATAATGCTCCTAGTAGAGATCGGCACTTCTCCGAAGTCGATCAAGATGGAGTTGGAGTTTGTTGTGGTCAACTTGCACTGTGTCCACAACATAATCTTGGGCCGACCCGCGATTATGAAGATTGGTGGGATAATTTCAATGCCCCACCTGTGCATGAAATTCCCCACCCCCAATGGGGTCGGTGTGGTCCGTGGCGATGTCCAATCCGCCCGGAAGTGTTACACCCGAGCGGTCAATAGACGTGACTCCGGTCCGTCTTCCCGGGTGAACACGATTGCCAAGGAGGAATCCAAAGACCGGAAGGAACATCCCGAGCCTTCCGAGGAAATAGAAGAAGTTCCCCTGTCCGAGGACCGACCGGATAGGAAGATAAAGATTGGCTGGGCCCTCACCCCCGAGCTCCGAGTGGAAGTTTTGGCAATACTCCGGGAGTATGCCGATATCTTTGCATGGGGCCCGAAGATATGTCCGGGATCGACCGATCGGTAATCTGTCACAAGTTAGCCGTCGATCCTGCAGTAAAGCCGGTCGTGTAGAAGACCCGGCACCTTTCATCCGATCGCCGCGAATTCGTCAGAGAAGAGGTTAAGAAGATGGCGGCGATCGAAGCCCCCATTGTCCTTGTTCCGAAGCCCCCAGCTTGGAGGATGTGTATTGACTTCACCGACCTCAATAAGGCCTGTCCGCTCGACCCGTATCCGTTACCAAGCATTCACCAGATGGTCGACGAGACGGCCGGGGCCGAGTTGATGAGCTTCATGGATGCATTCAAGGGATATCATCAAATAATGATGCACCATGAAGATGAAAGCAAAACAGCCTTCGTGACCCCAGACGGGCTGTATTGCTATCGAGTGATGCCGTTCGGCCTCCGCAACGCGGGAGCGACCTATCAGAGGATGGTCAATATGCTCTTCGCCGATCTGTTAGGCCGAACGATGGAGGCGTATATTGATGATATGCTAGTCAAGAGTCGGGACCGATCCGACCACACTCGAGATCTCCGGGAGTGCTTCCAGATCATGAGGAAGTACCAGTTGCGGCTGAACCCGACCAAGTGTACATTTGCGGTTCAGACCGGGAAATTCCTCAGCCACATGATGACCAAGAGGGGGATCGAGCCCAATCCGGCCAAGGTAAAAGCAATTCTGGACATGCAACCACCTTCTACCGTTCGGGAAGTCCAGCAATTGACCGGTCGGTTGGCAGCTCTTAGCCGTTTCCTCTCCAAACTAGCCGAGCGCGCTTTACCTTTCTTCAAGGTATTGCGTAAAATCAATGGGTTCGTCTGGGACGACGAGTGCCGAGCGGCTTTCGACGAGCTGAAGGAGTATCTTTTGTCACCAATCGTGTTGTCGAAGCCTGAGCTCGGGGAAGAGCTAGACGTGTACCTCGCAGTATCCGATCGAGCAGTAAGCGCAGTATTGTGCCGAACCGATCCGGAAGGGGTCCAGCGACCGGTGTACTATGTAAGCCACGCGCTACATGGTCCCGAGCTCCGGTACTCCCGGCTAGAGAAGGTCGTCTATGCCCTGTATATTGCCGCGAAGAAGTTAGCTCCTTACTTCCAGGGTCAAGCAATTCGCGTTTTGACCGATCAGCCGATCTGTCCAGTCCTCCGAACTGCTTCATCATCCGATCGCCTAGTCAAGTGGGCGTTAATGCTGACCCAGTATGCGATCGAATACCGACCAAGACCAGCCATCAAAGGTCAAGCCCTTGCAGATTTCTTAGTCGAATGCACCGCCCGAGATACCCGACCCCTTGAGGTCGCGGATCCCGAGGCTGAGTGGTGGTCGTTAGTTACTGATGGGTCGAGCAGCAAGAAAGGGGCAGGAGGAGGAGTGGTTATCTCGAGCCCGGAGGGATTCAAGGTCTACTTCGCCCTTATGTATCAGTTCCATCCGACCAACAATGAAGCCGAGTACAAAGCCTTTGTTAATGGCCTACAGTGTGCTCGTGACTTGGGGGCTGAATATATTCAGGCTCAAACGGATTCCGCGCTCGTGGTCGGGCAGGTTCTCGGGGATTATGGAGTGAACGGAGAACGACTACAGCTATACCGAGACCTGGCCATGGAGAAGCTTGCCCAGTTCCGGGGGTATACCGTCCGGCACATACCCCGGTTGGATAATGCCGATGCGGACATCTTGTCCAAATTGGCCCAAGACGCCCTGAAGCACATGTCGAAGATTGCTCGGATTCTGGTGATCCCGAGACACAGCATCCACCGCTTACCGGTCAAACCAATCCAATCGGTAGAAAATAATTGGATCACCGATCTGAAGGACTTCCTCGAGCACGATCGACTCCCAGACGACCCCCAGCGTGCTCGGAAGGCCAAGCTTAGAGCCCCGAGGTTCCAAGTCTTGGATGGTCGTCTCTACAGGCGATCGTATGGAGGCCCTCTTATGCGCTGCTTGACCGCATTTGAGGCCGATCTGGTAATGAAAGAGTTGCACTCGGGCATTTGCTCGTCACATCAAGGAGGCCGATCCTTAGCTCGTCGAATCATGCTGATCGGGTATATTGGTCGTCCCTCCAGCTAGACTGTGAAAAGCTCGCTCGGGAATGTGAGACGTGCCAATTGTTTGCCCGGATGCCTGGACGACCGGCTACCTTCTACCAACCGGTCACGACTGCAATTCCCTTCGCAAGGTGGGGGGGGGGGTGGACATTTTGGGACCATTCCCTCAGCTCTCCGGTCGGAGAAAGTTCGTTATTGTCGCCATTGATTACTTCTCCAAATGGATTGAAGCCGAGCCGTTGGCCACGATCACCTCTCAGCAGTGTGCTCGGTTCTTATGGCGCAATGTGATTTCCCGCTTTGGTGTGCCCGTGTATCTCATCAGCGACAACGGCCGCCAATTCGTAAGCCAGTATTTCCAGAATTTCTTGGCCACGATTGGGACGACTCACGTCCGGTCGTCGGTGGCTTACCCGCAGGGAAATGGACAAGTGGAGAACGCCAATCGAACAATTCTAGAGGGTGTGAAAAAGAAGCTACACTCGGCTGGTCGTAGTTGGGCCGATGAGTTGCCATATGTTTTGTGGACTTATCGGATGACCCCGAGAGAAGCGACTTTGGAGACTCCTTTCGCCCTTGTCTACGGAGCAGAAGCCCGACTTCCGATCGAGGCATGGATCCCGACCGACCGAGAGCGAACTTACAATGTAGAGGAGAATGAACACTCGATGGTCATGGATCTTGATGGGATCGAGGAAAAGAGAGAGCTAGCCGCTCGGCGTATGGCCGAGTATCAGAAGAGAGTCAAGAGTTCAAAGGACGTCCGGGTCAACCCTCGTTATTTTCAGGTGGGAGATAACGTTCTACGACGACGGGAGGCCAGTCAACCTTTGGAAGGGGGAAAGCTAACTCAGAATTGGGAAGGGTCGTACATCATCAGCGCTGTGGTACAGCCGGGGACATACCGACTGGAGACAACAACTAGTCAGGTAATCGAGGGGACTTGGAATTCCGAGCACCTCATTATGTTTAGGCATTAGCCTATTTTTTGTAATTTTAGACGAAGTGGGGGCTCGACCTACGAGTTGGTCCCGTTCGTCGTTTGTTTGAAAATTATTGTTGTAAATATTTTTTCAACCGCCTGGGAGCGAGAAGGTTCAATGTATATACGATCGGTGATTGCTCGACCGTTTGCATACGGCGGCCCGATCGGTTTTTCCATTACCTTCGTTACACGCAGGTCAAGTCATCACCACGCTGTCTCGACCGGGCGAGTACCTCTACCGGTCCAATGCGCTCCTCTTCGGCGGACATCTAGGTCACGCCACCGATCGGGAAAGCCAGAGCTCCAGCATAATTCCCCGATCCGTCCAACTTCTTTCCACTATTGCACCCACTCGTGTCTCGAGCGCACAATAGTGTGGGGGCTAGGATGAAGGAAGTGCTATAGGTCCATCGTTCGGGAACACCCCGATCGAAGAGGCTTAATAGGTTTTCAAAAATCGACAAGGCCAGGAGATCGGGTAAACCTGATCGGGTAGGCCATCAGAATGTCAATGTTCCGATCAAAAGATGCACGACCGGGCCATGAGGCCGCGAGGCCGGGCATTGAGTGGGTCGAAAAATGCATGACCAGGCCATAAGGCTGTGAGGTCGAGCATTAGGTGTTCGGCGCATGTGTAATTGAAAGTAAAAGTGCAACAAAGACGAGTGGTACAAGTTGAACAAAAAGTTAATTTTATTAACATAAAACGTGCCCGGTACAACTCTGGACCGGGCTCCCGATCAGGATCACTTACAAAAAGAAGTAAAACCTACTTCTACTTCTTTGCATGCTCTGCCTCGCCCTTCTTCGAAGGCTCCGCTTCGCTCGGGGTGGCTGCGGCTCCGCTCGTCTCGGCCGTTTTCTCCTTTGGGTCGAACGGCGGAGGCCCCGGGTCGGGAATGTCCTGAGGGGGCGTGGTCAAAACCAGCTGAAGATCATCCCCTTCGAGCGCCTGCTCCATGATCTTCTGCATTTTTTCACGCATCTTCCTCTGGCCAGCTTTGTACGCCCACCGGCCAAACGTCCATACCAGCTCCTCCCCGACCTTGGTGTCCCGAACGGACCGGAGGAATCGAGTGCCCGACTCGTTATCCCGGAAGAGGAATCGAGCCAGCTCGTTCGGGTCGTTCAGTCGGGCCTTTAGCTCCGCAACCTCCCCGACCGCTTGTTGGGCGACCTTCTCGGAGAGATCCCGCTCCTCCTTGGCCTTCTTGAGCTCCGCTTGGAGGTCCCGGATTTCTTGCAATCGCCGGTTGGC